GGAGGAAAGGCTCCGTTAACCCTTCGGGCTACTGAGGGTTTTCAGTAACTTCCATCATGAAAACCTAATGCTGTGAAGGACCCCCAGGCAAACCGTTCTCCATTCCTATGCATCCCAGAGTCCCTGTCCCAGAGCGGCTGATTTCAGTGTCAAATCTCAGAAGATAATTCTCAAGCCCTCCATCCAATTTCCAAGCTTGTACTGTAAGCACCACTTCTCCAGTCTGGTGAGGTTTCACTGCCAACTTACATTCTGAAGGCTTTTACCGCTCATTCCTCTAAAAGGCCTCTTGATGCATCCAAATTCCAAAAATGGATGGGGTTCTTACCCAGGGCTGAGGACTAGGAATGCTGGGAGAAGAAGCACACTTCTTTCCCTGAAGGAGCCCTATTTGGACAGGTCAGTGACTCAGTGGGTGCCTGCTGCCCTGGAACCCTGCAGGAGCATAGACAGGGACCAGATAGTAAGAAACTTCCTGGAAGAGGAAGATCTGGTGAGTCCTAAAGTTCACCTAGTTAAACAGGGTAGGGTAGAGCATCTCCAACACTGCTGCACTGGGGATTAAGTCTCCAACTGTGTATTTTCTAACTTCCTTTCTTATTTCTTTTCTTTCTTTCTTTCTTTTTTTTTTTTTTTTTGGTACCAGGAATTGAATCCAGGGGCACTCAACCTTGGAGCCACATTCCTAGACCTTTTAAAAATATTTGATTTGGAGACAAGACCTCACTAAGGTGCTTAGGGCCTCTGAGCCTGGCTTTAAACTCACAATCCTCCTGCCTCAGCCTCCTGAGCAGCTGGGATTACAGGTTTGCATCACCATCACAACTCTGTGAGCTCTAATCATTATCCCCATCTTTCAGATATAGGAACTCCTGAGAGTAAACCTACCCAAGGTCACGAAGCCAATTAAAGTGGCAGAAATTGGACTCTATGAATTCCATAAGTAATATGTGAATTCTGGGGGACACATTCCCACCATAGCAGGGGCATACCAAGTCTGAGTGGGGAATAGTTAAAATTTTAGACAGGGAAGGCCTCCTTGAGAGAGTGGCTCTTGAGAAAAACGTGAAAGAAGCAAGTCATGTGGAAATCTAAGAGAAAGGCAATCCAGAGAGTGGATACAGACCAGGCAAAGCTCTGAGGGGTGAGGGGTGAGTGTGCTGGGGTATCCAAGGAATGATGGGGAGGCGGGATCCTGGGCAGAAGCAAAAAGACCAGTTGGGGAAGCTAATGCAAAACTCTAAGCAAGAGATGATGGTGGTTTGGGGGCGAGTGATGAGAAATGGCCAGATTCTGGAAATGGTGTGAAGACAGAGCCAGTATTTGCTAATGGGCCAGGGACAGAGGGTAAGAGTGGAAAAGGGGATCACGCAAAGCCCCAGAGGTGCAAGTTGGAGTCCAGTGTATTCTATATTCTTTCTCCCCCACCCCAGAAGTCCTCCCTACTCCTTGGATTTAGATTTATATCACTTGCAGCCCAACTTCCCTACTCAGTAAAGGACATTTGGTATTAGAAAGAGTAGATTTAGGGCTAGGATATAATTCAGTGGGAGAGAGTTTGTGTGTGTGTGTGTGTGTGTGTGTGTGTGTGTGTGTGTGTGTGCGCGCGTGCCCGCGCGTGCACACACACAGAAAGAACAGATTTTAAACTGGTTTAAAAATTTCTGAGGCTATGACTTTTTTTTTTGAGATGGGACTACAGCAAGTTGCCCAAGCTGACCTAGACTCTCCATCTCCYTGTCTCAGCTTCCCAAGTGGCTGAGAATATAGATGTGGGCCACCAGGCCCAGCTGAGACTGTGACTTCTAAGACTGGGGCATAAAACATAATACATCTCCTGTCATGTCCTCCAAAACACTTGTTCGATGTTCTAAAATATTATCACTTTATGGTTCTGCAGACTTCTAATGATAATACTGGAAAAATAATTCTATTTTTCAGGTATCCAGCAGAAACCTTTCAGAATGCAGTACTGAAATTCTGTACATTATAAACATACTCAATGTACTCTGAATGTTACAAGTTTGCTGAAATTCTGCTTCATGGAATTCCATTGTATTGATCAGAGAAGCATTCCCGTCTCTTATGACTTAAGCCTTAGACAGATCCACACTTGATAAACTATGTGCCACTTTTATCAAATGAATGGATGAGTTTAGCACCATAAACTCAAACTTCACTAAATTTATTTATTTGTTTGTTTGTATGTTTGTTTTTGTGGTGCTGGGGATCAAACCCAGGGCCTCACATGTACTAGCCAGACACACTACCACTGAGCCACATCCCCAGCCCTAATTTTATTTTTATAGTTTATTCATTTATTAGTTCAAGGAAAGAGAGAATAAATAGAGTAACAGTATACAAGCAATGAATGATAGTTTCATGATGAGTAAAGATATTAAATAAGAAAACCAAGGCCATCTGATTTTATCTTAAATACTGGCCTGTTACTTTAGCATTGAATTTAGAGCCAGTATTCTGGTTTCTGTACAAAAGTAATGCCTTTCTTTGACATTGGTAACTCACTAAGCATCTATCTTAATGGTTCCTACATTAAAAAAATACCTTATTGTCCTCAGCAGTAAATAACCTACATTGCATTCAATTAGACAAATTAGTTTATATTTCTATTCCAAACTATATCCACTACTATACGTCCATCCATACCATGCACACATTCTATAATCAGAGAAATTCTATGCTATCAGTATGAGTTACATTTACTTTTACATTGGATAGTGTAGTCAACTGAATGTTTTTTAAAAATATTAAGAAAGAAATCTTCATATAACTACTTCTGAATAGATGATTCCCAAATTCTAACACTTCCAAGCTGGTTCCTCTACAGGGCTGCAAATCTTTTGACTAGTATCTTCTAGACTCATGCATCCCAACCTAAATGCATCCTCAAACTGCCCCTATTCCCATATTCTGAGTATCTATTTGTGACATCTCCATCCACCTGGTCAGCCATGTTCAAAGTTTGAATCTTCAACGCCTGTCTATCCTTCACCTCCTATAACAAATCATTGGCCAGATATTACCCCTGAACAGTGCCCAAACTGACTTTCCAACATCTACCCTTTCCCTTCTTCCCCTCACAACCACAATTTTCTCTTTAAAGCTCAAATATGTTATTACTTGCTCAAAATCTTTTTTAAAAATATTATTTTTTCCCTCCCTCCTTCCATGGAATAGCCTAAATGCCTTAGAATCAAAACAAGCCTTTCCACAATTTGGCCAACTCCCCACTGCACTGTTTTGACTGTACCTGGGATTTAACTGGTGGAGGTGAACAAGTGATGACACAGTGGTCAGGAACACTGAAAGAAATTTTATTACTCAGTTTTCAGAGGAAGGGCTGTTCTCTACCACATGGGCCACATGGGGAAGTAGCAGGGTCAGTGAGTAGGCAGAGGGAAGGAGGGAAAGCATAGCTCTGGTGAGCCTTTGTTGTGGTTTCTGTGGGAAGAAATGGAGACAGGCTTGAGTAAACTTAGAATCAGATGGTTTGATCAGATTGTCAGTGGGCAGCAGAGTGGTCTCTAATTGTCCTGTACAGGATTCTGGGGTGATTTACCATGGTGCTTTAGGGAAGGGAGATATTGGCTTGGTGAGTGAATTAGATAAAGGAAGTGACTGGTTTGTATAACAAAGACATGTTCAAAGACACTTGTTTGCCATCTCTAGGAATTAGCTGACTTTGGAGGGGTGATTCCTCTCTGGTTCTCCAATCCCCAAGATGTCAAAGCATCATGAAATACAAAAGATAGTCCCAAGATGGTAACAGCATCCAGGCTTCTGAGGCTAGCTCAGTGTAGCCTGCAGTGCTTGGGCCCAAGGGGATGCTCTTGCTAGACTGGCCTTTCCCTCCTAAATTAGGGCAGCAGTAGCCGAATCTTGGCTCCCCTCCATGGTGCTGAGTGAGCCCAAAGTGTGTCCACTGGAGACTGCAAGTATAGATGAATGGAATATTGCATGGTAGTTTGCGGATGACAGTTTTGATCTGAAAGTCAAYCCAACAATAGGTGCATCTTTCATGATCAAAACTGTCCAGTTGCAAAATGAGCTATATAAATTCCTAACCTGGACTACAGCTGACAAGAACTATTGTGCCTTGGTACCAATATACCACAGGGGGTCAACCGAAGTATAATTGTTGATATCACACAAGAAGAGATATTTCAACATGAAGGGATTGTGAGAGCTTCGACAGCATGGCCCATCTCATATTATGGGTTTGAGAATATAGAGGCAGGCTGGGGATCCTGCCACCAGGTATCACCTAGCACTTGAGCCTTCTTCCTGCAAAAAGGACTTTCAGAAATTGACCAGTTCTCTTCTGTCTTTGAAGACTGCAGCAATGATATTCCAGTCTGTGAAGTTCTCTTATGTAAAGAATCTCTGACATGCAAAGGAACGACATCAGTGGTTTTTGACCTTGTTGAAAAGGAATGTATATAATTCTATGGATGGGAGGATTACATTTTTGAGCAGGTAATCAGGATTTTATGTAGTATTCATAAAAGAAAAAAAAAGCACTTTCATGATTCTTGAGGGGAGAAAAGGGCCTTTTGAGAGTGTAATTTCCCTGGTTTCTCATTACCACTCTAGAAGAAATTGTATTATTTAAAATGTTGTAGGTATTGTTAGCAGAAGGATAGCAATCATTACCTGAAGCTAACCTGGGTTATTTATAAGACTCAAGGAAATCATTTCATCCTGACTTCTGTAAAGCACATTTCATCTAATACAGATGCCCCTTTGATTTATGATAGTAACCGCCCAATAAATCCACTGTAAATTTAAAATATCATCAAGTTGAAAATGCATTTAATACACCTAACCTACTTAATGCCCAACGCTAAGCTCCACACCAGGAAAACTTCCGGGGGGCCCGCCCTCCACGGCGCCAGCCCCTCGGTCTCTCGGACCAATCCACAGATTTTGTCGATTGCTTCTGCCTGGGCAGTGTTCCCGGCGCGGCAGCCCCGCCCTGATCGACTGCTCGGGTCTGGCCCGCCCCCGGGCGCGGGAAAATAAGTTTTTGTTGAGTTTTTACCCGGGCGGCGGCTGCAGTGATCTGCTCAACCCGAACCATTCCTCAGCGTCCTCGGCCTCTCCTTCTTCCTGGTCCCCCTCGAACCACACGAGTGCAGCCGAGGGGCCCAGCTCGCCGCCATGTCCGAAGCTTATTTCCGGGTGGAGTCGGGTGCGCTGGGACCCGAGGAGAACTTTCTTTCCTTGGACGACATCCTGATGTCCCACGAGAAGCTGCCGGTGCGCACCGAGACGCCCATACCTCGCCTGGGCGCTTTCTTCCTGGAGCGGAGCGCGGGCGCGGAGCGGGACCACGAGCTGCCCCAGGTGAGAGCCGCCGCTGCGGGTGGGTCCCGCCAAGCGCCTGCGCGTCAGGGTCGCGTCGCGTGGGCCTCCGCGCACTGCAGCAGCGCGCGGGGAACGGGAGCCGCCCGGGGCCGGGCGCGCCTCCGACCCTCCGGTACCACGTGACCCGACCCGCACTGGCCCCCTCCTCCCAGCTGGGGGACCGGTGGGAGCCCCCGACGGCACCCGCAGCCCTTCCCGAGGCYTACGGGGTGCTAGCGTGGGCGGGGTCGGTGACCTGTCATCCTCCTCCGACCTCGTAGGTTGGTGTTGTCAGCCCAACAGAAAGGTTGGGTGGCTCGGCCAGGGCCCCCCAGTAAGCGGTGAGCTGGGATTCCAACCAGGGCCCTGTGGCTGCACACCCAGGTTCGTCCCAGGACAGTGACTTGTAATGGCTATTTTTCATTTCCTGTTTAACCTGTTTTGTTTAGAAGGATGTTTTTGTTTGGGCTGTTTTAGTTTTTATGAAAGTAAAAATTTTTAAGTGAAATAGTAACTATATATATCTTATATATTAGATGTATATATACACATACATATATATATATATATTAGATGTATATATATACATCTAATATATATATAATTAATACATATATTAGATACATAGTATATACGTATATGTATATATACATGTAATGTAATATATATATATATATACACACACACWMTATATATATATATATATCTGCTTTCCCACATAGGGCCTGTGTACATTTTTAGTGATGTCTTCAAAATTCACCTCTATATATTTTTAATATCTTTATTTATCTGTTTTTATGTGGTGCCAACCATTGAACCCAGTGCCTCACACATGTTAGGCAAGCACTCTACCACTGAGCCACAACCCCAGCCCAACCTTCATACTTTTAAATKATATTCTTAAACTCATCTTTGTGATTTGTAAAAATGCAGACATTATTGACATCCCATTACAGTACATTGTACTTATTGTGTTAACTGGTAAACACGGAGATATGCTGCCATAACTTTATTCATATTTACTTAGTTTTTAACCTAATGTCCTTTTTCTATTTCAGGTTTCTTTCTATGGTACCACATTGCATTTAGTAATCATGTCTTCTTAGGCTCCTTCTTAGCAGTAACAACTTTGAGATTTTACTTGTGTTTTTTTTTTTTTGTTGTTGTTGTTGTTGTTGTTTGTTTGATACTGCGCATTGAACCCAGGGGCACTTTACCACTGAGCTACATCCTTAGCTCTCAGAATTGCTTAGGGTGTCTCTAAGTTGCTGAGGCTGACCTTGAACTTGTGATCCTCCTGGCCTCACTTGCTGGGATTATAGGCATGCACCACTGCCTTGCCTGCTGTTGCCCTTTAGTTAGTGTATGCGTGACATTTTTTTCTGTCCTGTTTTCAACACTTCTGTGTCTTTATATTTAAGGCATGTCTCTTCAAAGCAGCATATAATTAGGTCTTTTCATTGAGTTTGGCAATTTTTAATTGATGTATTTAATCCATTTACTTTTAATTATTGATATGCTTGTGTTTATTTTTACCTTCCTATTGACCCTTCCCTTCTGGGATTCAAATTACTTGCATGTTAGATTTTTTCTTTTTCTTTTTTCTCACCATATTTTATGTGTGTTTGTTGTGCTCTTGTCTATATTTTTTCCTGCATGGAACTTCCATTTGATGATTTTTTTAATATCTTTATTTTACATTTATATGGTGCCGAGAATTGAACCCAGTACCTTGCGCATGCTACCACTTGAGCCACATCCCCAGCCCCTTGATGATTTTTTTAAAATTTTTTTTACTTATAGATGGACACAATATCTTTATTTTATTTATTTATTTTTATGTGGTACTGAGCATCGAATCCAGGACCTCACTCATGCAAGGCAAGCACTCTACCACTGAGCTACAACCCCAGCCCTCCATTTGATTTTTAAGTCCTATTTTAAAGTTGGTGTCTGATTACCCTGCTATTTGGTGTCAAATGTTTGGAGTTGCTCTTGGCCCCTCCATCCTGGCTGCTTTAGCAGATTTGAATTCAGACACAAACGTGTCTTCAGCCAGTGGTATTTTGTCAGAGCTCTGCTTACACCACCCACCTTCTCAAAGCTGCTCCCACCCTTTGCTGCAGTTCTCCCTAGTAAGAATTTTATACTTGTGTTGCTTCCTTTAAACTAATTATGTTTATCTTTGGTTTTTTTTTTTTTTTAATGAGATTTCTCTTAAAACTCAAGTTGATCTCATAGAAGTTGAGAATAGAATGGTGGTTACCAGAAGCTAAGGAGAGGATGGGGAGGTAAGGCTGGGGAGAACTTGATCAGTGAGTACTAAATTCTAGTAGGAAGTGCTTGTGTGCTATTACATAGTAGAATGACGATAAATAATGATATATAATGTACGTGTTTAAAAAGCTAGAAGAAAGGACCAGGTGTGGTGGCTCATGCCTGTAATCCCAGCTACCAGGAGGATCACAAGTTAAAGACCAACCTGGGCAACTTAGCAAGACCTTGTCAAAATAAAATAAAGAGGGGCTGGGGTTATAGCTCAGATGGTAGAGTGCTTGCCTTGCATGCACAAGGCCCTAGGTTCAATCTCAGCACACACACCCCCGAAAAAAATAAATAAAGTAAAATAAAAAGGACTGGGGATATAGCTCAGAGGTAGAATGTTCCTGGGTTCAGTCACCAGTACCACAAATAAGTAAATAAATTTAATAAAAATAGATGAGACTTCAACCCACGCAGTTCATTTCTTCATTCACAACCAGGTCTTCTGCATATGACAGTCACACACACACACACACACACACACACACACACACACCCACCCCAAAGAGAACCCACAGTGTTGCCCAGGCTCTATGTATTTTTTTTTTTTTTTGTCAGACATATTTACCATGCTGTTTGTTTTTAAAATCTACCTCTTGTCTGATGCAGGGCTCGAAGATTGAACTACCCTTGTGGCTGGCAAAAGGACTTTTTGACAACAAGAGGCGCATCCTTTCCGTGGAACTTCCCAAGATCTACCAACAGGCCTGGAGGACTGTGTTTAGTGCAGATGCCAATGTGGTAGACCTCCACAAAATGGGGCCTCATTTCTATGGATTTGGTTCCCAACTCCTGCATTTTGACAGTCCTGAGAATGCAGATATTTCTCAGTCTCTTCTGCAGGTAAATAACTGGTGTGAAGGCCTAGGATGCTACACTGGTCTCAGGAGCCAGCCAAATATCACTTTAGTTTTTTATTATTCCACTTTGGCCTATAATTACAGCATACCTGCTGTGTGTGTGTGTGTGTGTGTGTGTGTGTGTGTGTGTGTGTATGAGAATATACCTGTCTTCTGTAACATGTATCATTCTTTACAGTAAGATTTTTTTCTGTGATCCCAGCAGTTCAGGAGGCTGAGATAGGAGGATCGTGAGTTCAAAGCCAGCCTCAGCAAAAGCGAGGTGCTGAGCAACTCCGTGAAACTCTACCTCTAAATAAAATACAAAGTAGAACTGGGGATGTGGCTTAGTGATTCTGTGCCCAAGTTCAATCCCTGTATATACCCCCCCCCAAAAAAAAAAATATGTCTTAGCTTTTTGAAATGTATAATTCATTATTGTTATCTGTAGTCACCCTACTGTGTAATAGAACTCCAGAACTTCCTCCTAACTATAATATTTTTAAAACATGACTTTTCAACTGCACTTGATATTTGCCTATAATTGGAACTAACAGCAAATCTAGGGAATGAGGAAAAGGTAATGGTGAGTTACAAGCACTTAGATACACGATTCCAGCCCAGTTGCAGGTCTGCTCTAGGGGTTTCTAGTGGAAATACTTGAATGACTTGGTTATTTGTTCCCTTCCGTTGTTCTGTGGTTAGGACTTGGCTCTGCCATGAACTAATTGTGTGACTTGGTCAAGTGACTTGACCTCTCCAAGCATCAGTTCTGGAGATTAATAATAGTACCATGTAGTACCATTTAACACATGCAGTAAATAGTAACTATGCTATTTTTCATGAACAAAACCATGTTGTGTATATTATCATTCTTCGTAGTTTATTTTAACCCTTCATAATTTTATTATTTTTTATGTTAATATTAGAAGAAACATTTCCACCTGTTGGGATATAAGCAGTTGAAAGACTTTACTTCCTCATTTTTATTTTTATGAGAGCTGTTAACAGGTTTGCTCCCTGGGCTATGCCGACATCCTCCATCAGGCTTAAGGGTTCTTTGGCCCACCAACTACTAGTCCTACTTTTAATGTAAATAATAAAGAAAAATGTTGCTGTCCATTCAGAAAAAGGAAGTCTATATAGAGACTATAAGCTTGAACTCAAGCTTATGGAATTCTTTTGAGCAGAAAGATAAAAACAAGGAAAACCCATTTGTCTTGCAGTGTTTGCAGGACATGTGCTTAAATTGGAGTCTTACCCTTCTTTAGTGAGCTGGGTGTTTTCTTTTCCCATCATTACTTTCAAGTGCTTTAGAGTTGCTTATAGATAGGGTGACTTCACCCTGACACAGTTGAAGAGACTGGAGCAGGGACTTGTGGTTTGTGCTCAGAGCCCAATTTAAAATGACACCGCTAGAGCTCGAGGGTCTCCATCCTGATTTCAGACGGAGAATGATAGAAACCACATTCAGGGCTGGGGTTGTGGCTCATTGACAGAGCGCTTGCCTTGCACATGTGAGGCACTGGGTTTGATCCTYAGCACTACATTTAAAAAATAAATAAAATAAAGATATTGTGTCCATGTATAACTTGAAAAAAAATATTAAAAAAAAAAAGAAACCACATTCAATTAAAAATGCTTGCAGTTGAAAGCTGTTGGCATGTGACTGCAGTACATTATTAGAGCCTTTGTTAACAATGACAATTATGAGTAATGCTCTTTTTTTGGTACCAGGCATTGAACCCAGGAGTTCTTAATCACTGAACCACAAGCTAGCCCTTTTAAATTTTTTTTTTATTTTGGGGGGATAGGGTCTTACTAAATTGCTTAGGGCCTCACTATTTTGCTGAGGCTGGCTTTGAACATGCAATCTTCCTGCCTCATCCTCCTGAGCTTCTGGGATTATAGGCGGGCATCACCAAACTGGGCTGAGTAATGCTTTTTGAAAAGCTGGGTGCTTTACAGATATTACTTCATTGGTTTTCATAACAATTTTCCCAATAATCCATTTCACAGTTGAGGAAATCAAGGCTTGATAATGTGCAGTAGCTTATTTGAGTGGTAGACAGCCACTCAGGCCTCTTTCTGAGTCCTGACAACAAATTCTTTCATGCCATACAAACGTTCCAGGATAAAAATGGATCTGGTTTTATGGAACATGAGATCAATCCTGATTTTTCCCTGTTCACTTCTTCTGCAGACGTTTATTGGACGTTTTCGCCGCATCATGGACTCCTCCCAGAACGCTTACAACGAAGACACTTCGGCACTGGTAGCCAAGCTAGATGAGATGGAGAGGGGCTTATTTCAAACAGGCCAGAAAGGACTGAATGACTTCCAGGGTTGGGAGAAAGGACAGGCTTCTCAGATCACAGCTTCCAGCCTTGTTCAGAATTATAAGAAGAGAAAATTCACTAACATGGAAGACTGAAGGCCAGAAGAACCCAGGATTGTTATTGGTGGATTTATCTCGTTTATGTCCTTGATAAGACCTAGCTGACCTTGTACAGGATCAGATTGTATCCCGTTTCATAACTTACGTCCTGCAGTAGTTTCAGGAGTCAGGATTAACTGGTTGGGAAAGGATGCCCTGGCCCTGTGTGTCCTCTAGGCCTGTCCCACCCAGCCTGGGCCTTTTGACCCAAGAACCATAGCCAAAGAGAAATCAAAGTCTGTGCTAAATAAGGATCAATGACATACATCACAGTCAAGTTGGAGCTGGGATTTCTTGTGTTGGGGAGTTTGGGCAGCATGAGATGTCCCTTTCACTACCTGCAAAGGGCAGGTACAAAGTGGGTCATCTTTGCCTGTTCACATCATGTTCTCTTGACTGTATTTGCCTCATCTTCCTCGTGGTTGAACAAAAGATAGCACCCCCATGATGTTGGCCCAACTCGTAAATATCTCCTGCTGCCTGCCTGCAGGGAATTAGCCCAATTTCCAAAACACTCACCCAGTAGAGAGCAAAAGGGGAAGACAGGTGAATGGCACAGCAGAGAAGAGAAGGTGTTGTTTTTGTCCTCTGGTATCGGGGCTTTATGGACTGGAATCATCACTCTGCTGCCAAGCTAGAGGGGACATAGTTAAACTGAGCTCGTGTTTGTCTCTGATCTTTGGAGCACCCGCGCACTTATTCCATTCCTGTCTAGAAAGGCTGTCAGGGAGTTGACCAGCCTTCGTTACATCTGGAAATTGGGACCAGAAGATTGCAGATTGTGAAGACCCCTGCTTAAAAAACATGGCAAAGGTTAAGGGGCAAGTTGTTTTTGCTACATTATTAAGTGGAGGATCCCTGACCATTTAAGGGGAACTGTTTAAGCAAGCTTGAAACTCTTCCCGGGAGAGCAAGGAGGAACTCAGGCTGAGTAGGAAACAGTATTTCCTGGGACCCATGGACTGTCCAGTGGGCAGTTTTCTCCACACCACTGCTCCCTTTCCAGTCTCCCACCACTAATGAACACTGTCTTATTGTTGGATGTTTTAAAGGAATTGGGGTATCCAGATTGTGCAAATATCTTGATGCAAATTTAGAATGACAAGTGTTTTTTTAAATGCCTGTTTTAAGATGGAATTGATGTTTTTACAATTTGACTTTGGTGCTAAATAAGTGATCAGCTTTGCCTGTGAATACATTCTGTACGAGTGCTATTTCTGTCACTGGTGCTACAGATGATCAGCAAAGTCACCCGAGAATTTTGCCTTTGATCATATTTGACAATAATGCCCAAATAAACCCATGTTTTAGCAACTGCTCTTTTGTTTGTACATCCTCTAAATAGGAGGTATGTTATCTGTCAGAACGTGCATCTCCTGAGAAGACAAGTTCCACTGCTAGTGCACCAAGTATAGTAGTTAGGGCCCCAGAAGCGGTTCAGAGAAGAGCCCTTCACTCTGCTTTTGGCATCATTATCACAGACAGCTTTGTTTTAAAGACAATCCTAAAGCTGCTGCCATTTTTACCCCTTTCTTAAAAAAAGGGGGGGGGGGGCTACATGCTAAAAATATGAGGGCATGCATGTATAGAATTTATTCCATTTTAAATTTTGCACAAATTACATCACATGTAACTTTTGTGCCCATTTTTGTTGCACATCTGCCTGCAAATTTGTCAGATTAGCTCTCTTCCTGGTAATTCTCCCCAAGTCAGTTTTATTGGATTCCTTCAAGAAGGTGATTTTTTTTTTTTTCCCCAAAAGAGTATAATTTGAATCAGCTACCAAATTTCTGCTGAAATCCAGGGAGTACATGTGTGCCCTTTCCCCTTAAGGGCTCTGTTCCCAGATAGCTGTGGCCTTAATGGTAGATACAACCTGTGTGCAGGTTTTTCCTAGGGACAATCTGGCCTGCAGGGAGAAGTGGGGCTAGGCTTGGTCTTCCCTTTGGATTTCTCCTGTTCTCCTTGACCTCTGGACTCTGGGCAGCTTCAGGCATAGTCCTTGGATCACCATCTGAATGCTCTTGACTCCCCAGCTTGGATTGCCAGCTTGGCTCTCCCTCCAGACCTAGACTTGTAACCAACCACTTGCTTAATGTTTTGACTTTAGCACCTGCCCAGCTTGGCAGAGATGGCTCTATTTGTTTAAAAACCTGTCCTGACCCCAGTGGTCTGAGATCACTTTTCTTACTGCTTCTATAGCAGAGATCATTTGTTTCTTATTTTAAGTTAAAATTCCACCTCTGGGGCTGGGGTTGTGGCTCAGTGGTAGAGCACTCGCCTAGCACATGGGAGGGCCTGGGTTTGATCCTCAGCACCACATAAAAATAAATAGAAATAAAGGTATTAAAAAAAAAATTCCACCTCCCTAAGAGAATTTTGAACACCTTACAGGGCTTCTCATTAGGCTTCCAGCACCCCTGGGCCTAAGATGTTTCTGGAATACTGTGTGAAGTATTAAAACTGGAATGCAGAACTCAAGGTCAGGTACACTCTGAATCTCTTCTGTTTTACCATCCTTCAAGAGATCTGCTTTATGTTTATGCTTGAAACAGTTGTGTTTAGGTAAAAATATTATATTGTAGACAGATCTTAGTAAAAGAGGCCAGATGTGTTTCTCAAAGTAGATATTTATGTATTTAAGAGGAAAATCTATGCTTCAAGAAACTTGTGGAACAAAATGTAGGATATATACTTAACTATAAGAATTATTATGATCTGGCAAAGTTAGACTTAAATTTTTAATGTTGCGTTCCCATGGGACCAATTAAGACAATTAAATGCTCTAACCCTAAAGAAAGATGTTTAAAAGTTGGAATTTTATTAACTAAGATTTACTATTACCCTTTTGAACAGCATGATATCTCCCGTCCTGAAGAGCAGAGAATAAAATGTATACTGAATCAAGGGCCAAGTCTGAGAAAATGTAGAATTCACCCTCTTACTGAAAGCAAATGACAATCACAGGTGACAGGCCCGGCCTGTTTTGGTTTGAACTTGGTCTTGTGACTTTTTCCAGACTTCTGCCTAGTTAATCAGAGGAAGCTCAGTGCAACCAGACACAATCACTAGCCCAGCAGCAGCCTTATTCTAGGATAGAAGCATCCTCCCTCCCAGCTACACTAACTTGGTGTCGCCTCGTGGTCCAGGAAAAGGTGAAATGGGACCACCCGCAGAAGCAGAGGTCTCCCTTCGGTGCCCGCTTTTCTAAGATCAGAATCAGATGAACTAAAGGGATGTCATTCCATTAAACTCTTTATGTGGAAATAATTTTAGATTTATGGATAGTTGTGAAGATGGAATCGAGTTCCCATATTTCCTTCACTCAGCTTTCTCTCACATCTTCCATAATCCTGGTACATTTATCAAAACTAAGATTGGTACAAGACGTGAACTTAAAAGCACAGACTTAATGCAGACCTCACCCCATGTTGTCCACTAATAATACTAATAATGTCCTTTCCTGTTTCAGAATGCAATCCAAAATCCCACAGTGCACTTAATGGGCAGTCAATTTTTAAAGGAATTCACTATCAAGGTCTTGGCTCCATTTCAGAAGTTCAGCTTCCTAGAGGGGCTTTGTTGCACTGGGGTGAGTACCCAGGGCCAGCTCAGGGCCTATCACAGATTGCATAGGATCAAGTTGCTGGTGAACTCATCTGGAAGGGAGAGAAGGTGTTTGTCACCTCAATTCACTTTTTCCCTAGTATTTGCATCTAATAGAAAAGGACTTCTTGGATTCTACTTAAAACTTAGCTTCTCATTCCCGTTCCCCCATCTCATAACAGTAACTTGATTGTCTCCCTCTTTCCCTCTGGCACCCGGTAGCTAATTTTCTTTGTGTCTAAATGAGTTTAAAATGAGCACGATTTTTATATACAACATTATTAACAAGTGTCAGCACAGCTCTGAGAATAGTGCCTGGGAACTGCGTGTGTTTCAGAATTCATAGGGGAGCAGAGATCCAGCTCATCTTGCAAACGCCCATGGATGGCTAATTACCCAGAAAAAAAAATCTTTATGACATTTTCTGCCATTTTACCCTTGAGAGGGAAGATTATTGACTTCCTCGTGACTTGCATGTCTCCCTTTGTACAACTAAAACTCTTCCCCAAGAGCATTTTTTCCTTTGGGCACAAGAAAAAAGCAAATGAGTAGCTAAGGAATATATGGATTCTGTTCAATACAGGAAGGAGGCAGGCGAGAGATAGAGGGTGTGATTATTGAAGAAAAAGGATGGTGGAAATTTGTTTGGGGCTCAAAGAAAGACTGCAGAGAGAACCCAATCTTCAGAGCCACATTGCCAGAGGCACTGGAGGAGAGAAATAGCAATAGTTGTTCCCAGAGAGTGGCCTTATCTTAATGGGTCCAAGAGGGCCTGGCACTCTGCTATCTCTTTGTTCAGGAGCAGAACATTTTAAAAACTGTTTCAAAGGACACTGTCATTTTCTAATTTAGCACTTTGTAGACACTCTTAATTTCTTAATCCAAGATTCCAGGTAAATATTAAATAATGTGCTTTTTTTTTTCCCCCAAATAATTGAGCAGTCCGGGAAACATTTTCTTAGGTTTAAAGCCAGCTCTGAACTTGATCAACATTTCAGAGGATCCAATCAGCTGAATTTCTGGGTCACTCCAAAGATTTTGATAGAGGAAGAGGGAGCCACAGAGCATGATGTATCCTGTTGGTGTACGGCCAGAGTGAGGATCAAGTTGTTCTCCAACTTTTAAGACTTTTAAAAATGAAACCAATAAAAAAATTGAAAACCTCGCTCCACTGAAATACTGTTATTTCCATAGACTGGTTATGATTTTTGGGGGGTGGGGTACTGGGGATTGAACTCAGGGGCACTCGACCACTGAGCCACATCCCCAGCCCTATTTTGTATGTTATTTAGAGACAGGGCCTCACTGAGTTGCTTAGCMCCTTGCTTTTTCTGAGATTGGCTTTGAACTCTCCATCTGCCTGCCTCAGCCTCCTGAGCTGCTGGGATTACAGGTGTGTGCCATCGTTCCCGGCCTTGTAGTATTTTTTGATGAATAGAAAAGTTATTAAACCTATCTTTTACAAAAGAAGGAAAGAAAAAATAGGCACAAAGAGTTAATGTGACTTCCCATACACAGTGTTACTAGTAATAGTTTTTATTGAGAGCTCCTTCTATTCCAGGTGTTAAGATAACAACTTTATATTATCTCATTTAATCTTCACAACAACCCTGAGAGGTAAATCACTGTTACCCCCATTTTTAGAGAAAGAGAGTCAGTGAAGTTAAATAAGTGTCAAAGTCACACCATAACCAGTGCTATACCCAGGTGAGGCCAATTCTGAAGGTCAAGCTCTCCCCTACCCCACTATATTGTGCAGTTAGCAGCAGAGCCAGGCCCAGGGCAGCCCTTTCCCAGACACCCTTTCGATGCAGTCTTGGTCCTTCTACCAAAAAAAATCATGACACCACTCCTAAGTGTCTCCTTTGGAAAAATTGGCCCAAGCTATGCCTATGTCACATACCCATTATCTGCTATATAAATAGGACTCCACTTTTTGTTTCAAAACACAGTTCATGCCATTGTCAATTCATGCTCATTCCTGAGATTGCAGGTTGCTATTTCTGAAGTTCTTTTGCATGGCATTTTGCCTCAGGGGCCTTGGCCYGTTTAATCTGGGTATCTCAATTGGCAGAACACTGAGCAGCCCTCTGGGTTTGATTGAATGTGTCTAATCTGCAACTCCGGCTGTTGCCAGCACTCCTCTGCCTCCCTCTACCTCCCCGCTTTCTGCCTTGCCCAAAACAAATGAGGAATGACTGACAGTTGGCCTGGAAGAAGAGATGGAGGCAGGAAGCAGAGCCCTGCAGGGCACCGGCCTCTTCTGTGGACTTCACTGGGAGCACAGACTAATCCCATTCACTGATTCCTCCATCCGCCCTCCAGGAGGATCTACCCTGTGCCAGCACCGGGTGGGGCCCACCGWGAGGGGTGGAATGGCCGGGCACCCCCCTTCCCTGGTGCAGTTCACATTCTATAGGGTGAGACAGATGGGAAACTGGATTGCCAAAGGATGTGCGAAATGAATTAAAGGGCGTGTGAAGGGGAACAGTTGGGGGACCTTCTTTAAAT